ATGAAACCATCTGGTCCTTGGCTTTTCTTGTTGGGAGGTTTTTGATTGCTGATTCATTCTCCTTACTAGTTATAGATCTGTTCAGGTTTTATATTCCTTTATTATCAGTCTTGGTTGGTTGTGCGCTTATAGGAATTTGTCCATTTCATCTAGGTTATCTAATTTGTTGACATACAATTGTTCACAGTATGCTCTTACAATACTTTTAATTTCTGTATCTTCAGTAGTAATATCATCACTTTCATTTCTGATTTTAGTTAATTGAGTCTTCTCTCTTTCTTTCTTGGTCAATGTAGCCAAAAGTTTGTTAATTTTGTTGATGTTTTTTCAAAGAATCAGCTCTTAGTTTTGTTGATTTTTCTCCACTCCTTTTCTATTCTCTATGTTAATCTTTATTATTTCCTTCCTTCTGCTAACTTTACACTTAGTTTGTTCTTTTTCTAGTTTTTTAAGGTTTAAAGTTAGGCTGTTGATTTGAAATCTTCTTTTTTAATGTAAGCATTTACAGCTATACATTTCTCTCTTAGCACTATTTTTACTGCATCTCATAGTTTTGGTATGTTGTGTTTTCATTTTCATTTTCCTCAAGATATTTTCTAATTTCTCTTTGACCCATTGGTTGTTTAAGAATGTGTTGTTTAATTTCCATGTTTGTTAATTTCCAAATTTCCTTCTTAACAGAATAATTTCTGTTATTCATTTCTAATTTCATTCCATTGTGATTCAAAATGATACCTTGTTTAATTTTAAACTTTTAAAAATTTATTAAGACTTGTTTTGTGGCCTAATATATGGTGCATCTTTGAGAATGTTCCATGTGCACTTGAGAAAAATGTGTAGTCTGTTATTGTTAGGTAGATTGTTCTGTACATGTCTATCAGCTCCAATTGGTCTATAGTGTTGTTCAGATCCCCTATTTCCTTATTGATTTTCTGTTTGCTTGTTCTATCCATTTTTGAAAACGGAGTATTGATGTCTCCCGCTATTATTATAGAGCTGTCTATTTCTCCCTTCAATTCTGTTAGTGTTTGCCTCATCTATTTTGGAGCTCTGCTATTTAGTGCATATGTGTTTACAACTGTGATGTATTCTTGCTTAATGGACTCCTTTATCAACATATAATGTTCTTCTTTATTCCTACTAACAGTTTTTGACTTAAAGTCTGTTTTCTTTGCTATTACTATAGCTACCTCTGATATTTTTTGTTACTATTTGCGTGGAATATTTTTTACCTTTCTTTCACTTTCAACCCATGTATGTCCTTAGATCTAAAGTGAGTCTCTTATAGACAGCATAGAGTTGGATCTTATTTTTTTATTGCAGCTTTATTGAGGTATAATTGACATACAAAATTGTAGGTTATTTAAAGTGTACATTGTAGTATTTGACATATGTATACAATGTGAAAGGATTCTCCCCATCTAGTTAATTAACACATCCATCACTTCACATATTTACTTCTTTTTTTTTTGGTGAGGACATTTAAATTCTACTCTCTTAGCAAATTTCAACTATACAATACAGTGCTATCAACTATAATCACCAGAATCCTGTTTTTTAAAATCTCTTTTGCTAATCTATATCTTTTGATTGGGAATTTAATTTATTTACATTTAAAGTAATTATTGACATTTTGTTATTTGCTTTTTTCTGTATGTCTTATATTTTTGGTTCCTCATTTCCTCCATTACCGCCTTCCTCTGTGCTTAGTTGATTTTTTGCAGTAACATGTTTTGATTCACTCCTCATTTCCTTTTGTGTATACTCATTGTGGTTACCACGGACAGTACGTATAACATCCAAAAACACAACAATCTATCTCAACTGATTTCGACTTAACTTCAGTCTCACACAAAAACTCTACTCCTTTACAGCTCCACCCCCTCACTTTTTTATTTATATTACCAATTATTTTTTATATATTGTGTGTCCATTAACATAGATTTATAATTATTTTATGAAATTTTCTTTTAAATTTTGTAGAAAATAAAAAGTGGTGTTAAAAAACAAAATTACAATAACACTAGTTTTTATATTTGTTTATGTATTCACTTGTATTAGAGAACTTTACATTTTCATATGGCTTCAAATTACTCTCTAGTGTCCTACCACTTCAATGTGAACGACTTTTTTTAGCATTTCTTGTAGGGCAGGTCTAGTGGTATCAAACTCCCTCAGCTTTTGTTTACCGGCAACGTCTTTCTCCCTCATTTTTAAAAGACAATTTTGCCAGATGTGGAATTCTCAGTTGACTGTTTTTTATTTTAGCACTTTAAATATGGAATCCTGCCACATTCTGGCCTCCAAGGTTTCTGATAAGAACGCCACTAATAATCTAACTGAGGATCCTTTTTACATAAGCTTAACTTCTCTCCTGCCATTTTCAATATTCTCTTTGTATTCCGACAGTTTGATTACAATGTGTCCTGGTGTGGATCTCTTTGGGTTTATCCTCCTTGGAGTTTGGTGAGATTTTTGGATTTGTAGATACATATCTTTCCTCAAATTTGTTCAGTTTTTGGCCATTATTTCTTTAAATAATCTCTTTGCCCCCTTTTCTTCTTTTGGACTCTGATAATGCCTATCTTGGTTAACTTGATGATGTCCCATGAGCCCCTTAGGCTCTGTTCAATTTTCTTAATTCTTTTTTCTCCTCAGACTGGTGATTTCAAATGACCTCTCTTCAAGTTCTCTGATTCTTTCTTCTGCCAGCTTGAGCTGGTTGATGAACCCCTCTAGCAAATTTTTCAATTCGGTTATGGGATATTTAGAGCTAGCATTTCTGTTTGGTTCCTTTTTATAATTTCTATCTCATCACTGATATTCTCACTTTGTTTATATATATAGTTTTCATAATTTTCTTTAGCTGTTTGTACTTTCTTTTCGTTCTCTCAGTATATTTAAGACAGTTGTTTTAAAGTCTTTGTCTAGGATGTTTGATGCCTGTATTTCTTCAGAGATGGCTTCTGTGACTTCATTTTCTTCTCTTGAATGGGCCATGTTTTCCTGTTTCTTTGTCTGCCTTGTGACTTATTTTGTTGAAAATTGGGCTTTTGAAAACACAGCTCTCTCCCCCAGTGTTTGGAGACTGGCTTTTTTGCTAGGAAGGGACTCCACTAATTAGCAGAGCATCTTCTGAGCCTTAGGATCAGCCCAAGGTAAAGGGATAATGTCTTCTCAGGGGTTTTCTGGGCATATGTCTTGCCTGGAACTATGTGTGTGCTTTTTTTTTGATTCCCCCATATACAAAGCTACTTTTAAATGTCTTAGTTTCCCAAAGAGCCTCATACCAGCTTCTTCTTAGGGCCTTAGATGTTCTATTGTGTTCCTCTACCTGTAATCTCTTGCCTTAGGCATGTGTGGACCTGTAGCTCCCCTGCAACTTTCCAAAGCAACGCCTGTTGCTTTCCAGAGTTTTTCCCAGCCTGAAATCCAAGATACATCACTTTTCTCTGTCTGAGCTTCAAGTTAGATGAAACAGAGACCAGTGTCTCAGGCAGCAGGCAGACAGACTAGAATGTTGCAATTAAGGTCTGCTTTCCCCCACCCCCTCACTCTGGTTTGAGGAAGGGAATGGGCTGCTTCTTTGTCCCAACCATGCCAAAATGTGCTATACTGGGAAGGGTGAGGAAAAACAACTGAAAATTTCCTACCATTTTAAATGTGGCTTTTTCTTCTTTAGGCACTTACTTAGTTGCTGTAGACCTTTAACTGTTTTCCAGAGTTCCTATTAAGTTATTTTAGCCACTCTCTAGCTGTTTCTTTTAATGTTTCCATGGGGGATAAAGGGCTTGGAGCTTCCTAGTTTGCCATCTGATGTCATTCACAATTTTTAATTTTTTTGGTGAGGAAGATTAGCCCTGAGCTAACATTCACCACCAATCCTCCTATTTTTGCTGAGGAAGATTGGCCCTGAGCTAACCTCTGTGCCCATCTTCCTCTATCTAACATGGGGGATGCCTGCCACAGCATAGCTTGATAAGCAGTGCATAGGTCCGTGCCTGGGATCTGAACTTGTGAACCCCGGGCTGTCAAACTGGAGCATGCGAACTTCACCACTATGCCATCAGGCCAGCTCCTATAAAATTGTAATATAATAAGCACAACTATAACATATCTGTAAAAATTTAAAATTTGAAATATTAGTGATTATACCAAAATTATAACTTATAATATCAATCAGGCAGCCAGCTCTATGACGCAGACATGTAGGTTTTCTGACCAGATGAGAGGTGGCTCTATTTTCTATCAGCTTCTAATGCTTGGCCTAGTTAGTAAATAGCCAAGAAACAGCATCTTGGGAAGGAAAGGGGAGTCACCTGACGCTCCAGGGCTTACTCGTTGGGTCTTGCTGATGCAGCTGGTCCTCCTGAGAATTCCTCAGGGACAGCACTGTGTAGAGGGGACCGATACCACACATCGTCACTGGGCTCAGTAAAGAGCCTTTATTTGTATTACCTGCTGATGGTTTAAATCCTATGCTGAAACTTATTATTGCCCAGAGTTGAAATTTGTATTGTTTTGGAAAATATTCTTGAGCTCTTCTACCATTTACCTTTCAAAAAACAAATAAATCTCAGTCACCATGACTTGGCAGAAAAAGAGAACATTGTCTTAACAATTTCTGTTGATTTTAAAACATGATTGTTTTAAAAACTGCACTCCAAATGAAAGACTTTTATGAAAAGTGGATGATTACTATCCAAATCATAAAATTCATATAACTTCCAAAACTCACAGCATCATTATAATAATCTTTTTAATCCATAGACGGCATGCCCAGAGAAGAGTTCATCATTATGTTTAGTGATTTTGTGTTAGAGGAAAAACTGGTGTGGCCAGCAAGGCACATGGAACCTAACTTCAATTACGTGAGAGTCTGATGGTCTCAGCAATCACACAGTTCTTAGTGAAAGATAAACCTGCAAAGTCAACGTATTATGAAAAAAATATGGAGATTACTGCAGGATGTCTAACAGAATGGAAGGTTAATTACTTACCTCATGCAAAAGAAGCACAAGGAGCGCGTCTCCCCTTCTATATTCAACAATTATGGCATCAAAGCTGGCATTGACAGAGGAAAAGGAACATTTCCAAGTCACAAGGGAAATGTGGATGTCATCATAACACAGGTCTTTAATTACTGCTTGCCCAAATCCATGCTGAAACTTGCTCTGTTGTGCCATTCACCTCATCATGTCTGCAGAACAAGAGTAAGAATTATGCTAGAACTCCATAGAACTGAAAGCTTTACTTTCACAAATGAAAAGCTGAAAGTAGGAATAGCAGAAAGGCATGGATTTCTGTTTGCTGTCCTAAAAAGCAGGTAAATTGCAATTGCCCTGCCCACCAGCAAGCCTGCAGCTGACTTATGCCACTGGGTCTCACAAACAGCCACACAGGGGATCTGCCCTGCTTACCAACGCCTGAAATGGTTGCATGCTGCCAAGCCTGGGGCATGCCCCACCCACCAGCGCTCTTGAGGGATCTGTGCACCATGGAGCCGTGTAGCCAGTTGGCATCAGAGGCCTGCCCCACCCAAAAGCAAGCTGGCAACAGCCATGTGCCATGCAGCTAGCCTCACCAGAAGACTTCCCCGCCCACCAAAACATCTGAGGTAGCCAAGCACAGCAGGGCTCTGCAGCAGTTGTGTGCCCCTATGCCTATCAACCAGCCATGCTGGGGGCCTGACTCCCTCACCAGGAAAACTTCAGTAGTTGTATACTACCAGACCTTGCAAACAGCTATGCTGGGGGCTTGACCCCCTAACAATGTGCCAGTAGCAACTGCACAAGCCTAGTCCTCACAACCATATGGCCCAGGGGCCAACCCAGACTGCTCATGTGCCTGCAGCAATGGCAACCCCACCACAACAGAAAAGCACATGCAGCCCACACAGGGGATACCCCTGGAGCATTTGGCATGGGTGACAAGAGGCAATCATGATACTGGGCCCCATAAGACATATCCGACATAAGGCCACATTTCCAAGATCAGGAGATGTAGCTCAACTACCTATTAAACAGAAATATGCACAGAAAGGTAGGCAAGATGAGGAGACAAAGAAATACATTTCAAATAAAAGAACAGGACAAATCCTCAGAAGAAGAACTAAAGAAACAGAGATAAACCATCTATTTGAGAAAGAGTACAAACTAATGGTCATAGGGTTCTCACTGAACTGGGGAGAATGGATGAGCACAGTGAGAGCTTCAACAAAGAATTAGAAAATATAAAAAAGAACCAATCAGAGCAGAAGAATACAGTAATGGAAACGAAAAATTCACTAGAGGGAATCAACAGCAGAGTAGATGACACAGAAGAACAGATCAGTGATCTGGACAAAAGAGTAGAGGAAATCATCCAAACTGAAGAGAAAAAAGAATTAAAAAGAACAAGGACAGTCTTAGAGACCTCTGGGACAACATCAAGCATACTGACATTCACATTATAGGTGTCCCAGAAGGAGAAGAGAGAGACAAAAGGGCAGATAACTTATTTGAAGAACTAAAAGCTGAAAACTTCTTTAACCTAGGGAAGGAAACCAACATCCAGGTACAGGAAGCACAGAGAGCATGAAACAAGATGAACCCAAAGAGGCCCACACCAAGACACAGTATAATTAAAAACTCAAGAATTAAAGATAAAGAGAGAATCCTAAAAGCTGCAAGAGAAAAGCAACAAGTTACATACAAAGGAAACCCCATAAAGCTATCAGCTGACTTTTCACCAGAAACCTCACAGGCTAGAAGGGAGTGGCATATTTTCAAAGAGCTTAAAGGGAAAAACCTACAACCAAGAATACTCTACTTGGCAAGGTTATCATTCAGAATGGAAAGAGAGAGAATTTTCCAGACAAGCACAAACTAGAGGAGTTCATCATCACTAAATCAGCCTTACGAGAAATCTTAAAGGGACTTATTTAAGTAGAAAAGGAAAGGCCACAAATAGAACCAAGAAAATTATCAAAGAAAAATATCACTGGTAAAGGCTGTATATTTACACAGTAAAAGTAGTGGATCAACCATGTACAAAGCTAGTATGAAGGTAAAAAAACAAAAGTACTAAAATCACCTATATCTTTGAGAAGAGGTTAATGGATATACAAAAATAAAGGAGGTAAAATATGATTTCAAAAACATAATACATGGTGGGGGGAGAGTAAAAGTGTAGGGCTTTTAGCAAGAGGTCGAACTTAAGAGATCATCAATTTAATATAGATTGCTATTTACGTAGATTATTATATATGAACCTGATGGTAACCAAAAAACAAAAACCTATAACAACATACACAAAAAAAGAGAAAGGAACTCAAACATAACACTAAGGAAAGCCATAAAATCACAAGAGAAAAGAGCAAGAGAAGAAGAAAGCAACAGAGAATTGCAAAAACATCCAGAAAAAAAGGTAACAAAACGGCAATAAGTACATACTTATCAATAGTTACTCTAAATGTAAATGGACTAAATGCTCCAATAAAAAGACAGAGGGTGGCTGAACGGATAAAAAAACAAGACCCAACTCTATGTTGCTTACAAGAGACTCACTTCAGCTTTAATGACACATATAGGCTCAAACTGAAGAGATGGAAAAAGATATTTCATGCAAACAACAGAGAGCAGGTAGCTATACTATGTCCGACAAAATAGACTTTATGTCAAACATAAAGTATTAGAGACAAAGAAGGTCACTAAATAATGATAAAGGGGTCAATTTATGAAGAGTATATAACAATTTTAAACACATATGCACCCAACATTGGAATATCTAAATATATTAAGCAAATATTAACATATATGTAGGCACAAAGAGATAGCAATTCAATAACAGTAGGGTACTTAAATACTCCACTTTCAATAATGGATAGATCATTAAGACAGAAAAGCAATAAGAAAATAATAGATTTGAACTACATTTTAGACCAAATGAACCCAAGAGACATGTACAGAACATTTTATCCAATGTCAGTAGAATAAACATTCTTCCTAAGTGCAAAGAGAACATTCTCCAAGAGAGATCATATGTTAGGTCACAGAACAAGTCTTAACAAACTTAAGAAGATTGAAATCATATCAAACATCTTTTCCAACCACAACGGTTTGAAAATAGAAATCAATAATAGAAAGAAAATCAGAATATTCACAATTATGTAGTAATTAAACAATACACTCCTGAAGAACCAATGGGTCAGAGATGAAATAAAAAATATCTTGAGACAAACAAAAATGGAAACACAATAGACCAAAATTAATGGGATACTGCAAAAGCAGTTCTAAGAGGGACGTTCATAGAAATAAAAACCTACATTGAGAGAAAATAAAGATCTCAAATAAATAACCTAACTTCTCACTTCAAGGAACTAGAAAAGAACAAATTAAGCACAAAGTTAGCAAAGGAAGGAGAGAAGAAATGGCACAGCAGAAATAGATTAAATACAGACCAGAAAAACAGAGGAAAGACCAACAAAACTAAGAGCTGGTTTTTTAAAAAGAGAAACAAAATTGACAAACACTTACCAAGACTAACTAAGAAGAAAAAAGAGAAGCACCAAATAAATAACATTGGAAATGAAAGAGGAGATATTACATCTGATACCATAAAAATATAAAGGATCATAAGAGACTACTATGAACAATTAAGTGCCAATAAATTGGATGGATAATGAAAAGAAACAGGTAAGTTCTTAGAAAAATATACCCCACAAAGACTGAATCATAAAAAAATGGAATATCTGAATAGATCTATAATGAGAGTAAGGAGATTGAATCAATTACCAAAAATCTCACAACAAAGAAAAGCCTAGGACAAGATGGCTTCACTAGTGAATTCTACCAAAATTCTTAAAAGAAGAATTAACGCCAATCCTTCTCAAACTCTTCCAAGAAACTGAAGAGGAAGGAGCACTTCCAAACTCATTCTCTGAGGCCAGTATCACCCTGATACCAATGCCAGATAAGTATACTACGGGAAAAGAAAATCATCGGCCAATTCTTTCATGAGCATTGATGCAAAGAACCTCAACAAAATACTAGCAAACAGATTTCAATAGCATATTAGAAAGATCATACACCATGATCAAGTGGGATTTATCCCTGGGATGCAAGGATGGTTCAACATATACAAAGCAATAAATATGGTAAGCCACATTAACAGAATACAGAATAAAAAACATATGATCATCTCAATAGAAGCAGAAATAGCATTTGACAAAGTTTAACATGCTTTCATGATAGACACTCTCAACAAATTAGGTATAGAAGGCATGCACCTCAACATAAAAGCCATATAAGAGAAGCCCACAGCTAATATCACAGTCAAAAGCTAAAACCTTTTCCTCTATGATCAGGAACAAGACAAGGATGCACACTATAACCACTTTTATTCAATAAAGTTTTGGAAGTCCTAGCCAGAGCAATTAGGCAAGAGAAAGACATAAAAGTCATCCAAATCTGAAAGGAAGATGTAAAATTGTCTCTGTTTGCAGATGACAAGATCATATATATAGAAAACTCTAAAGCCACCACCAAAAAACTCTTAGAACTAAAGAACTAAAGGAGTAAAGTTGCAGGATACTAAATCAACATACTAAAATCATTTGCATTTTTATACAGTATCATGAGCTATTGGAAAGAGAAATTAAGAAAGCAATTCCATTTACAACTGCATCAAAAAGGATAAAATACTCAGGACTAAATTTAACTAAGGAGGTGAAAGATCTGGATACTGAAAACTATAAGACACTGATGAACAAAATTGAAGACACTAATAAATGGATAGATAACCCATGTTCCTGGGATGGAAGAGTTAATATTATTAAAATTTCCATACTATCCAAAGCAATCTACAGATTTAATGCAACCCCTATCAAAATTCTAAAGGCATTTTTCACAGAAATATAAAAAAATCCTAAAATTCATATGGACCCACAAAAGATCCCAAAGAGCCAAGCAATCTTGAAAAAGAACAACAAAGCTGGAAGTATCACACTGCCTCATTTCAAATTACATTACGAAGCTATAGTAATCAAAACAGTATGGTACTGGCATAAAAACAGACCACAGATCAACAAAACAGAATAGAGAGCCGGGAAATAAACCCATCCATATATGGTCAACTGATCTTTGACAAGGATGCCAAAGGCAAACAATGGGTAAAAGACAGTTTCTTTAATAAATGGTGCTGGGAAATCTGGTTATTGAC